AGAGATCTGCTCCCTGCCACAGGCTGACTGTTTTCACCCCAAGCTCCTGACCAGCAGATCCACAGAGCTACATGTGGGGAGGGGCTGTCTCCCTCCACTAGGGATCCTTGACCAGCTCCCACAAAATAGGATCCCCAGGACAGCTTTACCCACAGTAGTGAACAGTAGGGATTCAGGCCAGAGCCCAGATGCTCTTGTGGTCAGCCTCCTGAACTGGACAGGGAAGAAAGTGGGGAGGGGGGCAGAGGGGGTTGGAGAGAACAGGTGGAGACAGAGCCCTAGCTCCTTCCTGCATGAGACTACAAGTGCAGTTATTAGAGATGACCCAAGGCTCCCAGGAGACCCAGAGACCCTGAAGCTGGGCAGGCTGGGTGGGAGTAGATGGAATGGGCAAAGCCAGTGCTGGGACCCCGCCCCCTTCTCAGCTGGAGGCGGGGATGGAGAGGCAGGGCTGCTTGGGGACCATGCGCTGCTCACATTTCTCTAGAGAGGCAAGCAGGGTGGCTCTGCTGACTGCCAGAGGAGGGGCAGGAAAGGTTGGGAATATGCAGAGACCAGGAGGGAGCTCCCCAGTGGGATGCATCTTGGGGACACAGCTTCTGGCTATCTGGCCAGGGCAGGACCAGATCCTATATAGCTCCCTGAACTCCCAGGAAGCCATCCATGTACAAGATCATGGTGGGTAGTGACCCATAAGGCAGAGCTGCCAGGGGCATTTGTCCCCCTAGGACAGGTCAGTTGGGGCACTTGTTTCTTTTTTTTTTTTTAATTTTTTTATATTTTATTTTATTTTATTTATTTATGATAGGTACACAATGAGAGAGAGAGAGAGAGGCAGAGACATAGGCAGAGGGAGAAGCAGGCTCTATGCACCGGAAGCCTGATGTGGGATTTGATCCCGGGTCTCCAGGATTGCGCCCTGGGCCAAAGGCAGGCGCCAAACCGCTGTGCCACCCAGGGATCCCGGGGCACTTGTTTCTGAGGCCCAACTCTTCTCACCCTCTTCCCTAATACAGCCTCCTCAACTGAGCAGGCAATAACCCCAGATGGACCAACATGTACAGAGAGATAGAATCAGAGCTATGGGCATCAGGTCTCAAAGGCCCAGGTGGTTTGCCACAGCCCAACCCATCCAGTCCCTATGGGCCCAAGGGCAGCCTAGCCAGGGGAAGTGTGAGAGGAAAGCCTCAGGACTGGTCCTAGTGATTACCCGGGAGCAGCTGACCCCCAGACATCCCGGTCTCAGGGGAAAAGGCCACCCCTCCTGGCCTGGACTCAGCTCAGCACAGCTCCATGACCCCACTCTCATGCAGCAGCCTGCCTAAGCCATTGGCTACACCCTGAGTGGTGTGTCAATATCCCACACCCACCCCTATACAACCCCATCCTCCCCTAGCACACCTCCAAATTCTCTCACTCTGCTAGGGATTCCTAGCCCACAGTTAAGCCAGTTCTCCCCCACCCCACTCTAGGCCTCATCATGTCCCTCACCCATGATCCAGATCCAGAGGGATCAGGCCACCCTGTCCATTTTTCTCTGAGACACAAAGGGGGCTCCCTCTCAGGCTGGGTTAGCTTACTCTAGCTCTAGCTGACACCCCCTCCCCACATTGGTTCTGTAACTTCTCAGGGCACTGCACACACTAGCAGCCATTTAAAATTCAAAGACCACCCTTCGCAAGTGCTGGTCAGAGGGCCTCAGTCATTGGGCATCAAGGCCTTACTGGCTCTAACCCAGGCCCTGCCTGGAAGAAGGGGGCTTCCCTGAGTAGAGAGCTCGCCAAGCCTCTCCTTGGAAAAGGCCAGCACCTCTATCTTCCCTGCCTCCTTCCCTGAGCACCCCCACTTCCACAGAACTTTCCTGCCCAGATCCATCTACTGCTGACACCTCCCCAGAGAGGCAAGCAGGACAGGATGTTGTCCCCATTAGACAGAAGAGAAAAGCAAGAACAGGAGAAAGGAAGGTGGCAAGGCCAGGATCTAGGACCCAACTCCCACTGCAGGGCTCCTTCTAAGGCTTTTAACGAGCCATCCCGTGAGAGCCTACATAAGGGCAGGGTACCTACGCTCATCAAAGCATCCACCAGTTGCCCAGCTGCTCCACCCCCATCCCCAGATCCTCAAGATCCTGATGGCATTGAGAGGGGTGTCTGAACCACGGCTTCTAGCCTTGGTTCCAAAGTGGACATCTGGAGGGCTGCCTGAGGGGAGAGGGGAGCTGGGAGGGGTTCCCCAGCCTGGTGATACACCTCTCTCTCACCTGCGGCACTCTCACCTCCTCCACCTCCTGGCACTCCCTCCTGGCATCCCCCATCTCTGCAAAGCGGGCCTCAGCATCCGAGTCCTGAAATAGCCTCCCCATACCACCCCTTGCCAAAATCCCAGGAGGCTTGCCACTGCTGCCCATGTGAAGTCTGACCCTCCTCAGCCAGGCACACAAAGCCCTTCACCAGTTGGCCTCTGCCAGCCTTTATGGCCTCCTTGTCCAACTTGCTTCACTGTATCTCGAATGGCTGACCACACCAAACTGTATGTCCTCACCCGGGTGGCAGAGCAAGCATGGCTCAGATGCCTGCTCAGGAAGTAGCTGTGGGTTGGGTGGGACACACACATACCTACACACATTCCCATGCACACATACATGGATCTGCATAGAAAATCTGTATAGAAGCCCATCCATCACCCAACCACATGTGGTTTTCTACCTAATCAAACACACAATGCAACTGTGAAATCTAAACCAAAAAGGGACTGACAAATCTGTTTTATGGTTCCCACAGAGGCCAAGCGTGGTCACATCACCATCTCCAAGCACTTGAGGGACAAGCAGAGAGGCAAGAGTGGATCCCTGACTCTGGCTGAGCCCTCTCTGGGCCCCAGGGCCTCTGAGCCACAGAGGGTGGGCAAACAGGTCCCGACCAGGCTCTCCTGGTTTGGTGGCAGAGTTGCTGAGGTGCCCCAGACAAGCCACCTTCTCTCTCTGTTTCTCCAGCTATAAAACAAAGAGACTTGGATTAGCTGATACCTACGTGCTGTCCAGGCCCACTGGCCAGCTCTTTTTAGTTCACACCAAGTACGGAAAATGGAAGGGCCTGCAAAGGTGGCAGCAATGGGGGTGGGGGGTGGTTGCTTTTGCTGGGCACCCTTCGTGGCAAAAGCCTCCAGGTGGGCCAGGGAGAGCTTCAGGGAACGGAAATTAGGTGGGCACGAGGATGACGGTAACCTGAGCCAAGAGAGACAGAAACCAAGAGCCATAGGATGGAGCGATTATTATGACCCATAATTGAAATTTATGGAGCAAATAATAAGTCCTATTGAACACCATGCAGTGTTTATATCATATTTTCATTTAGATTGACACCAAATATAACTATTCTTATCTTGGGTATACCAAATGAGCAAATCTAATGGGTTAGGTGCAATCCAGTCCCTGGCCTCCTAGCCCCCACAGAGGCACAGCACAAGGGCCAAAAGGGTACAGGGGAACCCTCCAATGAGACCCCACCGACACCCAAAGCCCTCAACAGGTATGTAAGCAGCATAGTCCACAAGCAACAGCACACCCTCTACCCTTGGCCACCCACATCTGTGTGTTCACATACCAACACACACACACACACACACACACACACACACACACACACACACACACTGTGGACAGGGCAGACAAGCACTCTGCCACAGGTCCTGCCCTCTTATCCTGCTCTTGCCTGGAACTTGACACCCAATGATAATATCCATGCTCCCAAGGGCAAGGATTGAAACAGAACAGGGCATATCTAAAGGCTGTCAGAGGAGCAAGAGGGCACAGGTACTGCCATATAGGGGCAATATCCCCCAGACTATGACCCCACAGTCAGTGAAAACTCCATGCCAGCACAGAAGCAAAGGAAGAGGTACCCTCTATCACAGAGGGATGCAAACTCCCCTTTCCTAAACCTCCCTGACCTCCAGAGCCTGGCTCACATTACTCGCCTCACCTTGTCCCCAGGTCATGAACCATCTGCAGGCTGGGCTGTCTGGGGCCCAAGTAGGTGAGGGAGTGTCTTCCCAGAGGGAGGGGGTGCCAGCCCTGGGCCAGAGCCCCTCACACCCTCAGCGAAGAGGGGGCCAGCAGGAGCAGCCCCAGGCCTCGCTGTTCTCTATGGCTTTTTATTCCTATGTGATTTTACTGCTCACTCATATAGGGATTGGAGCCGTGGCGTACGGCGGGGGCGGCCAACGGAGGGCTTGGATGCTGAGCAAGTGGGCCCAGACACAGGACAGCAGCCCTACCCTCTCCCAGGACAGGCTCCTAGCCTAGCCAAGGGAAGCTTTCCTCTGTTGCTCTTTTCCCAAGCCTCTTTCCTAGCCAACTATAGCAGGGGAATGGGCAGATGGCTGCTGGACCCCATCAATATTCTGACCGCTCATCTCAGCACTGGAGACTCCCACTGCAGGGCTGGCACCAGGAGCTGCCCTGTGTCCCAAAGAAGCAGCTAAAGAAACTGGGATGGTCAGCCTGAGGAAATGGGCCTGACACAAGGAAACAAGGTCCAGAATCCTGTGTGGTTGGGAATAGCCTCCGAATAAACAAAGGGCAGTTCAACAAAAGGTGTGATCTATCCCCTAAGGGCTATCCAAATACAGAAGTTGAGGACAGCCTCAGTGGCTAGTAAGCTTGCACTTAGCAAGGTATACAGAACCTGGAGACTGCAGCACGGATGCCACAGGGGAGTCATGGTTGGATGGGTGGCCTGTCCCCTTCAGACCCCACAGACTGTAGTCCTTTGGCCTGTCCTTCCAGGGGTCTCTGCTTGCCCACACTGAGTGTGCCAGAAGCCAGGATCAACCTTCCTAGGCTCCTATTCCAGTAAAACAAGTATTGAGTGTGTCCTGCAGAGAGAGGTGTGGGGAACTCCTATAGAGTCTTAGTACTGGGGCTACAGCCTGACCCTCCCTACTCCCTTTCCCAACAACTCTGTGTGAGTCTTTGCTCTGCGGGAAAACACACAGAGAACCCAGAGTGTGGTTCTTTTTATTTGCAGTCCTTCTTACGTCACCCCACAGAAAAAACACTCAAGAGCTCAGCAGAGGGGCTGCCCGGTGTGGAGGGAGACCAGGAATAGCAAACCAGCGAAGGTGCTCATCCTAGCCCTCAAGGGTACCTGCTGTCATGACAGAAAGTAGGGAGAGAAGATAACTCCCATCTGCCAGTCTGGTTGGGGGGAATGAACACAGAGCAGAAGCCCTGGGTATGAAGGGTGAGGGTCAACCAAACAACCAGGCCAAGGAGAGAAGGGGCCCTAAAGCCTAGTGAGGTCTTGCAGACCAACCCTGTTCTGCCCCAGGATGCTGCCCCATAGGTCACCTCTGTGCCTCCTAAAACATGACCTGTGCCATCACCGTAGCCGCAGGAATAGGAAGTGAACGTCCATGACATTGGTGCCAGTGAGCCCTGTGTGCAGCAGGTGTGCTCCACCACGAAAGCAGCGGAAGAAGGTATGTGAGTCATTGTGGGACAAGAAGGTGGCCACGTCCAGGCCCTCAGTGGCAGCCTGGCTGGCAAGCTCAGGCACGACCCAGGCCCCAGCTGCCTCTGTAGGCCCATCCTGCCCATCGGTGCCACCACTCAAAAACAGCACATCTACAGACCCCAGCGGCTGTTGTCCCAGCTCTGCTCCGACACGTAGAGCCAGTTCCTGGTTCCGGCCACCCTTTCCGGAGCCCTGCAATTGTACTGTGGGCTCACCACCAGCCAGCAAGCAGACAGGGCCCCTAGCCCCAGCCACAGTCTCCAGAGCCTCCTTCAGCTGCAGGTCTGGGAGCTGGAGCTCAGCTGCCAACTCACGAAGTTGCTCATCCTCCTTCACAGAGGCTCTAGTCCCAGGCAGGGTGAGCTGGGCTCCAGCCACTTGGGCAAGCAACCCATAGAACCGGGCCACACTTTTCACATCGCCCTGTATGGCGGCACTCAGCACCAATGCCCGGTATCCCAGTGCCTCAGCTTGCCGCTGGGCCTCAGCCAGTGCCAGAGTGTTGGAGCCAATGATCACATTGAGCACGTGACCACAGGTGTGTGGCCCATGAGGGTCAGAGTCAGCCCGAGCCAGCACCGTCTTCACAGAACGTGGTAGGGCAGCACGAAGGCCGTAGTGATTGAGGATGTGCAGGCAATCTTGCACATTATGGATACTGGCCACAGTGGGGCCGCTGGCGATCACCTCCACAGGGTCCCCCACCACGTCTGACAGAATCAGGCTCACCACCTGGGGAGGAGTCACAGAGGCTCAGTCCCTCCTGCTTCTCACACCATAGCCATGGATGACAAGCTGCCACGTATCCCCTGCCACATATCCACACACCCTCATGCTGTCAGGAGCATTTTCTCCTCCTTTTCTAACCCCTCTCAAGGGGGTTTGCAGAACACGTGGCCATTTGGACACCCCACTCCCATCCTCTCTGAGGCCCCTCCCACTCCAGGCCCCTGCCAATCTACAAGCTGTTCCAGGCTTTCATCTCCCTGGCATTTGTGGGCCTGACTCCACCAGCCCAGGGCTGCCTCGGGTAGAAGAGACCCATATACCTGGGCAGGGTAGGCGGCCTGAGCCAGCCCCCCACCCTTGAGCTGGGACAGGGCCTTCCGGATGGTGTTCAGCTCCTGGATATTGGCTCCTCGGGCTGCCAGCAGCTTGGTGAGTGTCTGCTTTTCCTCCAGTGTTACGGGTGGGATAGGGGCGGGCAGCAAGGCTGAGCCCCCACCTGCAGATAGGGTGAAGAAGTTGGGCAAGAGGGGTAAGACTGCAAAGGAACCTCCCCACTTAGGGAAGGGGGCAAGCACACCAGGGAAGGGTATGCTGGAAAGGTGGGGTTAGGGTGCCCTCGTGTGGACATGCAGTGAACGTGTGTATGGTCACCACACCCCAGGCACCTGAGGCTGTGCCCTGCCTTGAGTAGCCCAGATCCCAGCAGGCACTGGAAGAACTATTCCTTATGAGCTTGGAATGGGGGCAGATCATGAAGAGACAGCAAGACCAAGGAAGGGCTGCATGGGAGTTGGTGACCTGGGTTCCAGTCCCAGGTTACACTGGCACAGACAGCAGCAACAGCAGGGGCATTTTCCCTCACCACACCTTGAGTTACATGCTCCCTCTCATGTGCCCTCTCATGGCCACCAACATGGTCAATGGGAGGAGGACCCACACAGCTCCAGAGAGGCCAGATAACCTGCCCAGGGCCACCCAGAGGTCAGCCATACAGGCACCTTACTGCCTCCCTTGCTCTGTAACCCTGGGAGCTCAAACCAACCATCTCTCCCAACCTGATATTTGGAACCACCACCACCACCACCCCCCTAAACTGTCCTGAGCCAATCTGGCACCCACACCTGAGATGAGTACAAGCAGTAGATCGTCAGCTGTGAGGCCTTCAGCCAGCTGCCGGATGGCCAGTGCAGCCCGAAGTGCATCACGGTCTGGCAGGTTGTCCTCTGCACCCTCAAATACCTGGACACGGCTGTGTGGCTTCAGCAGCATCTCCCTGAAGAGAGAACAGACAGCAAGAGATGAGGTGGGTTCCTCTCCTCCCATCTGATTTCTCAGCTGTACAGCTTCACCCATTCTGAAGCCAGTTCAGACCCAGAAGAAAAGGGATGCTGCTGAGGGAGGGAGGCCTGATCAGCACTGAGTTTGGGCCTAGCTTCCCCTCCCGGGGACAGTGGGAAACAGCCCCCCAAGCCTCCTTACTGCTTGCCAGCACGCTCCATGGCAGCACGAATCCCCTTGGGCACGCTGATCACACCCTGCACGAGATGCTGGCCCAGTAGCTCTTCAGCTGCAGCTGCCATGCCCAGCACAGCCTTGCCAAAGCCCACCAGGTAGAGGTTTTGCCGCAGCTGAAAGCTCCGGTCCCGCACCTTCAGCAGCCCACTACTGGGATCCAAGGACAGTGCCCGGTGCAGCATGGGGCCTGGAAGCACGGCACCCACGGTGCTCTCAAACAGGTGCTGCGCCTGCTCTCCCAGGGCCATGCCACTGGCCAGCCGGACCATTGGGCGCCCCGGGAGGAGTGGGCGCAAGGGTGCTCGGGCCAAGCAGGGCAGAGCTTGCAGAACTATAGCCATGCCCCACTGCTCTCACCACCACCTGGCACCCATGGCCACCTAGGAGGAAGAAAGCATTAGTGAGGCTGCTGCAAGACCAGAGACAGACACCCCCGACATACAGCCATCTCCTTGGGGGCTTGGAGCTGGACCCCACAGCAGCTGCTGCAATGGGCCATCTGCCAGGCCAAGACTTTCTGAGGCCCTCAGCAGCCTGATCTCACTCCAGTTCTCAGAGCCCAAGCCTGCCACCTACCATGTCCTCCTCTTCTCCAGATTATACTCTGGCCCTCTGGACACTCTGCCCCAAGTCCAAAGGTCCTGTTAGCTAAGCCCTCCTCCTAGGCCACCCACTTTGGCTGAGAGTTAATCATTCACAGAGGGAGCAGTGCCTATCAGTGGGCTCCTGCCCCACCCCTTTCCCACCCCCTGCACTTATGAGTCCTCATCCAGAGGCAACACCCTTTTTTGGCACTCTTTCCCTACCTCTTTACCACTTCTGTTGCCAAAAAGCAGCTGGCTGTCTCATCAACTGACCCCGAGCCTGATGACCTGCAGCCTGCTCTATTTCATTAGCTTGTGGATCTGGGCTGGGGAGCCTGGAAGGCTAGGTCTATGTGGGGAGGCAGCAGGCTCACAGGAGCACTGACAGGCAGGCCCAGAGCACATCCTCTTGACCCTCCTTACTCCTCAAGACACACAGCCTGAGGAATCCCAACATTGAAGGCCAGTCCAGCAAAATGTTCAGGTTTCAATGAGAAGTGGCAGCAAAGACTGGCTCATGATGGAACCTTAGAGAAGTCCCTCGACACCACATTGAGGCCATGCATCATGGGGCCCAAGCTGCAAGACAGAACCTACTTGGCTGGCCGGACCGAGCCCCGCCAAGAACACGCCTTTTGCTCTGACATACAAGTTGTGGGTCACACCACCCACGGGAGTGAGAGCCAATCGTCTAGAGCAGGAAAGACCAGGCTCCCACAGCTGAGGCCAAACAGTCATCTTCCCAACTAGGCAAGGTAAAAGCTAAAGAAGCCTTGGGGTGAAGATCAGGAGACTGTCCAGAGCTCAGGGACAATAAAGCCCCAAAGAGATCATCTCTAAAAAATGCATCTATTTTAACAATGCCCACCATAATTGCTGCCGGCTGACTGCAGCGCAGGCGTGGACAGAGCACGGGAAGGAGGCTGGAAATCCGGCTCTGCCGCAGAGAGAGCTCCCTTTCTTTCACCGGGCCTCAGGTGCCAAATGAGGTGGGAAGAGTAAGACTAATACTCTCCCCTTGACATCTGTGGCCTCTCTGAAGCTGCCCACTGTTTACACAGAAAACTTGAACCCCAAACATTTCATCCTTCCCTCAAAAACCTACCAACGTGTAGTCCTCAGCCACTTAGGCAGCATGGTTCTCATTTTCCCCTTAAGATCAGCGCTGCCTGACTTCCAGCCCTGAAAGGGAACAGAGGGCGCTGCCATGGGGACTCAGAAAATGGCCTCAGCTTTTTTGCCAGGAAGCCCTTGGGACTGGCCCATTGGGCCGGGAACCAAAAGTGGCTTAGAATGTAGCAACACAGCTTGACAGCCTGGGTGAACTTTGTACCTGTTTCCCAGATGGACACAGGCCTAGAGGATCCTAACCTTGCCACAGTATACCAGGGTCCAGGGGAGGATGGAGGCGTGAGGATGGTGGTGGTGGTGGTGGGGGGTGTTCAAGGCTGAGGCTGCCACTTAAAATGTTAAAATACAGAACGTCCAGTTAAACTTGAATTTCAGATTAACGAGGCACGTCTTTTTTTTTTTAAAGATTTATTTATTTATTTATTTGTTTGTTTGTTTGTTTATTTATTTATTTATGATAGACATAGAGAGAGAGAGAGAGAGAGAGAGAGAGAGAGGCAGAGACACAGGCAGAGGGAGAAGCAGGCTCCATGCCGGGAGCCTGACGTGGGACTCGATCCCGGGACTCCAGGATCGCGCCCTGGGCCAAAGGCAGGCGCTGAACCACCGAGCCACCCAGGGATCCCCGAGGCACGTCTTTAATATAAATATGTTCCATACAATCTTTGAGGCACACCTACCTAGACCAAAAAATTTGTTGCTTATCTGAAATTCATATTTACCTGGACGTCCTGTACCATCATTGCTAGGCAGCCACACTGCCTGCTCAGGGCAGCCTCCTAAACTCCCAGGCGCTCCAGAGAACCAACCGTGGAAACCCCGAGGGGCCCCTCCTGGACTCCGCCCCGCCACCCACGGGGCCGGAACTGGGGCCACTTCCGGCCTTCCCCTGCCCGCACAGGCCCCGGAAGTAACGTCAGCCTCAGGCCTTCGCGAGGGAAGTGGCTGCCGCGTGATGTCCGGTGGTGACCCGAGAACTAAGGACCCGCCGCCACCTGGCGCCTCCGCTGCCCGGCCCCAGGGCTGCTCCCGTGGGCCCTCGAGCCGAGGACTCCCCGCTCCGCCGAGCTCCGAGCCGCGGCTTCCGTTGCCGGAGAGGAAGTACTCCCGGGTGGGCGGGGCGGGACCCGGAAGTGGGCGGGGCTGCGGCGGGGCTGCGGCGGGGCTGGGGTGCCCGCGCACGCTGCGGTGGAGCGGGTTGCGGAGCCCGCTGGAGTGGGGCCTGAAGGGCCCTTGGCTCCGCCCTGACCTCTGCGAGGCTTGGAATTACCTTCGGGCCTCATTACCTTCATCTCTGCAATGGGGGCGGCGATGTCCGACTCACCGACTGCTGTAACCGACCCCTCCTCTATCCCGTAGGAACCCAGCAGTCAGCAAATAGATGCCTTGGTCCTGTTAGGTGCTCGGCACTGCCCTGAGCAAACAGGTTGAGAATTACGACTTGCCCACAACCCACCCCTCTGGAGCCAGATTAAATCATCCTGGCTCTTCACCACCACTGTAATCCAACTCTTTGTTTGCCCCGCTCCCCTTGGCCAACCTAGTAACAGCTCGGACTCAAAGTTTTATTCCGTGATCCTTGAACACACAAGCTGTGTATAAATAACAAACCACCCTGGGCCTCCCTTACTGTCTCCGCTCTCAGCCTGTGTCCACCCTTGACCCCGACTTGATGCCTTCCCACCTTCAAAAGACAAGTGTTGACCAGGATCTAAAGACCAAAGAGTGCACTTTTTTTTTTTAAATAACTGATGTTTTCTTGAGGAGAGGGGGGAGTTACATCACAAATCACACAGCAGACTTTCTAAATATCATAAAACATATTTGCCCTCGCCCACTCCCTTTTGCAGTTGCCCCATCTCTTTACATTATGCTCTGCTCTCATGAACTCCTATCTCCTTCCTAGCTGTTTCCCTGGATTTTCCCCCCCTTTATAATAGAGGACCTTTTATTCCCTATCACTCTCTCCCAAACTTCCCCACTCCATCATCAAAACAAAGGCACCTTTAGTAGGATCTGCCCTCTTTAGAGGTGGGGAGATTGTAAATATTTAAAGTTTCGGTTTTTCCTTGCTTATAATAAGCAGTCTTTAGTCATCGTGAATTTATTCATTCCTCCACCATTCAACAGACATTTCCTGACCTTCTATGTGGGTCAAATGCTATAGCTACTGGGATGGGTAAGAAGTGGTACTTTTAGTTGGGGATTTACTCTGCGTTTGTAATGACAGTCCCACACTGCTGGAAGAAATGTATATTTGAGGACCTCTTTCATAATTTAGTGCTAGAGACTCATGAACAGACACCATTTACTATGCCAGTGCTGTACTGTCAGACTGTAAGCAGGAGACCAATTATACTCATTTTTTAAAAATCCCCTTCCCACTCCATAGCTACTCACAAGATGTATTTAACATCAAACTTTAGATGCCCACTGGACCATGAGTTCTTGGCACATGGTGATTTTGTCTAACTCGTATTTGCATCTCTACTGCCTCGCATAGCACCAGGCACTAATAAAAGCTGGGGTTTCTATCCCCCCCACACACACACATACACACTTTCTTTCCTTTTTTAAAATGAATTAACAAGAGAACAGTGAAGTACTCAGCTGCAAAGTACTGCAGACCCAAGTTGGGAAGAACTTCATAAAAGAAAAAGAGATGGTGGTAGTGAGTAAATGTAGAAGCCTCATGTAGCAGTGGAATTTAAATCTAAGAGAACAATTAGGCTCATGAGAATGCATACACACGCCTTGATAGTAGGCATGAATATGTCTACAATTTTTTTTACAATATTAGCTATTTTATTTAACAGATTATTTATTTGAGAGAGAGAGAGAGAATGGGCAGAGGGAGTGGCAGGAAGCAGACTCCCAGCTGAATGTGGAACCCAACTCCCGACTTCATCCCAGGACCCTAAGATCATAATTTTTTTTTAAATTTATTTATTTATGATACTCACAGAGAGAGAGAGAGAGAGAGAGGCAGAGACACAGGCAGAGGGAGAAGCAGGCTCCATGCACCAGGAGCCCGATGTGGGATTCGATCCCGGGTCTCCAGGACCGCGCCCTGAGCCAAAGGCAAGCGCCAAACCGCTGCGCCACCCAGGGATCCCCTAAGATCATAATTTAATTGGAAGTCAGGTGCTTAACCGACAGTCACCCAGGCGACCCTGTCTATAGTCTTTTTTTTAATTTTTTTATTTATTATTCATGAGAGACAGAGAGGCAGAGACACAGGCAGAGGCAGAAGCAGGCACCATGCAAAGATCCCAATGTGGGACTTGATCCTAGGACTCCGGGATCATACCCTGAGCCAAAGGCAGACACTCAACTGCTGAGCCACCCAGACATCCCCCGTCTATAGTCTTTTTAACTGCACTTTGGCAATAAGTATCAATGTCAAAAATGTGACAGGCAACTCCAGACCAAGGAAATAATTGGATGTATAGACAAAGATGATGTAGGGGTGGGGTACCTGGGCAGCTCAGTCGGTTGAGCATCCCACTCTTGAATTCCACTCAGGTCATGATCTCATGGGCTGTGAGATTGAGCTCCCCGTAAGGTGTGCATGTTCTCTCTCTCTTTCTAAAAATAAATAAATCTTTAAACAACAAAAAGATGTAGAGGAGGAAAAAACCTTTTTCCTCTATTCTCTTAGGTTTAGTGGCTGAAGCCCTGGGACAAACTGAACTGACAGAAGACATTAACAGGAGAAAAAAGTTTATTTCACATGTATATGGGGGGGCTTACAGAAATGAAGTAAAAACTCCAACAAAGCCTTTGTGCCTGAGAGCTTATATACCATTTTTAACAAAGAGCGATAAATTTGAGAGATGTGACAAGACAAAAGAAGTTCGAACTTCTCGGGGCAGTAAATTGTGGGAAAATAAATATATGGGGGAAACTAATGGAAGATAAGGATTTGTTTGTACAGATTTATCTTAGCATTGGCTCTCCACCTCCTGGTACAGGGAGGGATCCTTTCTCATGGGAAATGTATGTCCTGCTTTTAGATAGGAAGGAGAAGGGCAGGGAATCTTTTCTGCATCTGTTTTCTGCATCTGTTCTCAAATGCCCTCAACTCATAATAATCCTTATGCCAAAGTAGCATATTTTGGGGTGGCATATTCTGATCCCCTTCAAATGGACATAAAGATACTCAGCCCAGAGTTGTTAGTATAAAGCAATCTAAAAACAAGTATTTATACAAATAAGTTGTAGTACTTCTTAACAGACATTAAAAATGGTATTCTAATGTCATTAAGGTTTACATATGTTACTTTTTGCAGTGCTATTTTATGTTTTTAAAAAACTGCTGATAAGACCATTTATGAGGTGCCTGGCTGGCTCAGTCAGTAGAGTTTTTGATCTTTTGATTACGGGGGTGAGTTCAAGCCCCATATTGGGTATAGAGCTTGCTTTATTTTAAAAAGAAGCGGGGGGATCTCTGGGTGGCTCAGCGGTTTGGCGCCTGCCTTTGGCCCAGGGCATGGCCCTGGAGTCCCGGGATCAAGTCCCATGTTGGGTTCCCTGCATGGAGCCTGCTTCTCCCTCTGCCTGTGTCTCTGCCTCTGTCTATCATGAATAAATAAATAAAATCTTAAAAAAAAAAAAAAAAAAAAGGAAGGTGGACGCCTGGGTGGCTCAGTGGTTGAGCTTCTGCCTTCGGCTCAGGGCATGTTCCCAGAGTCCCGGGATCAAGTCCCACATCAGGCTCCCTGTGAGGAGCCTGCTTCTCCCTCTGCCTGTGTCTCTGCCTCTCTCTCACGGTGTCTCTCATGAATAAAGAAATAAAATCTTAAAAAAAAAACACATTTAAGTCAATTATAAGACTTCCACATTATTTAAGCAAGCCAAAGGAAAGAAGGCAATGTACTCATACTTTATCGAGGGAGGATTTACGGAACTTACTCAATTTCAGTTTTTTTTTTCTTCAGTTTCAGCTTTAATTTAAATGTTCCCATTTAGAGCAAACAAGTAGGTCATTCCTGGGTAATGTTAGGTCATCAGTGACCAGGGGAAGGTGGCAGTAATGGCACCCATCTCCATTAACAGCGCCGAACCATAGGAATTCAACAGGGATATAGTACTTGGTCTCTGTAACTCTGAAATCACCCTCCCACCCCTGCACACCAACCAGCTCGAGGGGGTCATTGGGGGTAGTGAATGGTACAAATTAGTGAGAACAGTACTTAGCCTTGGGCTTTCTGATTTGGCTCTGCTCTAAGTCAGTCCTGCTTGTCGAGGAAGCTGATTACACATGACCACAACCATTTAAGGTTTAAGATGCCTGAGAAGGTCATTAATATTAGTGCATGTCGCCAGTCCAGCAGCCATCCCCCTACATTATTACCTGCTCCTCTATCAACATTCACCCTGCTGTCCTCTAACCTCAAAGGGTGGTTTGAGTGCTATTTACTACCTAAGTCTAGTTCTCTCCACCCCCCTTCCTGGGCCCCTTGTGGTTGAAAAGGGTCATTCGACTAGTTCTGGTCAATGAGGAGCAAGTAGAAGTGGTATGGTTCATTTCAGGGCAGTTAACTGCCCAAGTGAGGCCTTCCTGAGCATTTTCCCCTTGGACTTGGTAACTGACAACATTTAAGATGGTGGCTTCTTTGCCAACCTAAGACCTGAGTGACTGATGGGAAGAGCCACCCTGACAACCTACAAAGGACGTATTGAAAGTGGAAAATAACCTTTGATGTTTAAACCCACTAAGATATAAGAGGGGAAAAAAGCCACAAGATGTGGGGGGTCTATGTTATTGCACCATGCTTGTTGATATGCACACTTTATCCTACTGCAATTTGGATTCAGAAATTAGGACCTGCATCTTAGAATCTTGATCTACTCTTGATATCAAATCATCTGGAAAAAGTTGGTTCTCACTGGCATTCATCTTGCTAGATGCACCAAGAGATCAAGAACAGCTTGCTGTGCATTCACAAATTCAGA